CTGTTCGATTTCCAACTGCCAGGCATTTTTTACGTGCGCAAAACGTAATATAAACACTACGAAGACAGAGACAATGATGATAGGAAGACATAAAGACAATTTAGAAATTAAATTAAAAAACAACACCCTGAGACAAACAGAGGAATTTAAGTATTTGGGAGCAATTTTTACTTCAGACGGAAAACTGGACAGAGAAATTAGCTCCAGATGTGCCAAAGCTAATCAAGTAATGGGCCAACTATCTCCCCTGTTGACACACAAGCAGATACCTCAGAGTACTAAAGTGAATCTTATCAGAACTATTTTTTGGCCAATACTATGCTATCAGTGCCAAACGTGGACACTTACATCCTCCAATGAACGTAAAATTGTGACAACAGAGATGAAATGCCTTAGAAGAGCTGCAGGAGTTTCAAGGAAAGACAGAATACAAAATCATGAAATCAGACGAATGCTAGGAATAAAGCCAGTCTTACAGGTCATCAAAAGAACAACAAATGAAATGGTTTGGACACCTAACAAGAATGCCCTGGTACTATCTGCCACAGCGAGCCACACTAAAACGTTACAACGGGTATAAAGCGAGTGGAAGACCTCGGAAAAGATGGAGTGATGGCATTTAAGAAACAGCCCTTACAGAAATGAACATCAGTCTTAATAGTGCTCTTGACAGAGCTCATCAACGAACATTACATCTCCCCCCGACACTTCGATGAGGTACAAGGTGGAAGAGAAGAAGAAGAAGAAGAAGAAGAAGAAGAAGAAGAAGAAGCAAAACGTAATTCCAGGGGTAATTACTAGAAGTCCAAGTTCACGTGAAAAAATCCCAGCCCGCACCCGAGATTGAACTCGGAACCTCTAGCACAGGAAGCGGACCCCATGCCTCGAGACCATGCAGCCTCCGCCCCCCCCCCCCCCCTCTCTCTCTTTCTCTCAATCTCAACTGTCACCTTGTAGCCTAATGCCAAATTTTCAGTTGTTGGTGATTGTTTCTTCTCTTATTTGACACTTTGATTTATATCGATGTTTTTTTTCCCAATCTCTAGTTAACAGTCCTGTGGGATATTGTTGTTCTTCCTTTTCTTTTTTAATCAAATTTTGTTATAGGTAAAAAGGGGTTGGGTGGTCTTGCCAAATACTGAAGGTTTTTTTTTTTTTGGGGGGGGGGGAGAGAAGGTTGGGGGGGGGGGTGGGGGGGGGGAGGAGGGGTAGGGCTCCTAAAATTAAGATTGGAGATAACTGTTCTAGGAGATAGTGACAGTACATGAGTGTGTGGGTGCGTGTGTATGTTTGTGTACCTGAACGAACGAACGAGCAAAGGAAGAAACTTTCCCTAGATGTTTAAGAATTGGGCAAGCCCGTCTTGCATTTTGCCCTTCTAGCCCCCCCCCCCCCCCCCACCCCCCCCCCCCCACCCCCCCCCCCCCCCCCCCCCCCCCCCCCCCCCCCCCCCCCTCCCCCCCCCCCCCACTCCCCTTTCTTTCAGATATTATTGAATTTGTAAAACTAGGTACTCTACTCTCCACAGGGAGTGGTCTCTGGAGCTATCTGTGGTTTGGGAGTTTGTCTATGGCTATCGATAGGCACATATGTGTCGGGGATTCCCCTAGTGGAACTGCCACACCCTAACGGAACCTGTTTCCCTGACAACAACATGACCGAGATTACAGCAACTGTAGCGTCGATAACGTTGGCGACAGCAACCTTATCACTATCTGGACTGATGACAGCCGGTGCTAACACAACAAACGGACATGGTGGAAGGTGAAGCTGTTATTGTGCATTTTGTGTGTGTTCATGATGGTTAACTGGCATAACACTGCACCAAATGTAAACATTCCAGTGAAAGACAGCCCCTTAGTTTCCGTCTTATAGACATAATGAGACCTCTCTTTCTTTCTCTCTTTCTCTCTCTCTCTTTCTCTTTCCTTTCTCTGTCTATCTATCTATCTATCTATCTATCTATCTATCTATCTATCTATCTATCTATCTATCTATCTATCTATCTATCTATCTATCTATCTATCTATCTATCTATCTATCTATCTATCTATCTATCTATCTATCTATATCTATCTATCTATCTATCTATCTATCTATCTATGTTATCTATCTATCTATCTATCTGTCTATCTGTCTATCTGTCTATCTGTCTAATCTTATATATCTATCTATCTATCTATCTATCTATCATTATCTATCTATCTATCTATATATCTATCTATCTATCTATCTATCTATCTATCTATCTATCTATCTATCTATCTATCTATCTATCTATCTGTCTATCTATCTGTCTATCTGTCTGTCTGTCTGTCTGTCGGTCTGTCTGTCTGGTCTATTGTCGGTCGGTCGGTCGGTCGGTCGGTCGGTCTGTCTGTCTGTCTGTCTGTCTGTCTGTCTGTCTGTCTGTCTGTCTGTCTGTCTGTCTGTCTGTCTGTCTGTCTGTCTGTCTGTCTGTCTGTCTGTCTAATCTAATCTAATGTAACCTTAATGTCTAAAACAGATTTATCGAAAAACATATTTCAAGTTACTACTCTTGAAAATACTATTTCTCATTACCTTTCGCCTTGTTTTCCCCGTCTATAAATTCTCTAAAAGTGATAAGTTCTGACAGTAAAGATAATTTCAATTTTCTTACTGAAAATAAAACGAAATCACTGGAAATAACGGAGGACGTGATTTTGGAGGACGTGATCTTCTCCACAGTATTGTGTCAGTGCTTAGCCGATCTCTTTAACAGTACATAGAAACTTGTTTACAAGTATTTGTCTACATATGTCATAGTCAGTGAGTCTAAAAATTGTTCTTTCCTACAATGGGGCTCCGGAACCCACAGGGAAAGTGAGGTTATTTCAAAAATTCAAGGACTGGATCTATAGAGAGACGTGCGTGCCTACAGCACTGGGGAGGGCATATAATAGTTAGTTAGTTAGTCGACAGATTATCATCATTACACACCAAACTATTCAGTCCACGAGTGCTCAGACCCCATCCTCGGTAAATCCCGCACCTTTTAGCTGTTGATGACACTGGTTCTTGTAATTTTCTTGCACGACTGCGTGCCCTGGTACAAACATGAAACTAATATGTGTCAGCCCCAACCGCTTTAGAGACTCCGCCCACTGTCTTCGGACCCAGCCAATCTGTATCTTCCTGAGCATACTTATTATTTCAATGAAAAGCTTTTGTCTCCAGCCATGCTATTGCTTTGGTCACTGCCATGACCTCAGTAGTCAGACTACTTGTGATTCGAGGCAACGGCACTAGAACTTCACAGTTTTAACTCCAGCCTCAGCCATAAACGCACGAGTGACAACAGTGCAACATAAAAATGAAAGCCTATAGTTATGATACACAGAAGGAAACCCGTCATCTCAAAAAGACAAGAGACAGACAATTTGCGGCTAGAGGGTTTTTCAAAATACGGATACACTTTCACTTATGTATATTTACTTAAATACACATTACAGAGAGAGAGAGAGAGAGAGAGAGAGAGAGAGAGAGAGAGAGAGAGAGAGAGAGAGAGAGAGAGAGAGAGAGAGAGAGAGAGGGAGAGAGAGGAAGGTCTGAAGTTTACGAACTTACAATAGAGGTTATAGGTGTTCAATATGGCCGCAGTCTGCTGCCCGGCAAACATCTAACAGGTAGCGAAACTCATCCCAGAATCGAAGGAGCATCTCTTGTGTAACTAGGTCCAATTCAGCTGTGATACGGTTTTGCGGGTCGGCAGCTGCACTCTGGAGGTAGTATTTAAAGCTTAGACCTTACTCTCTCTTATGTGTGTGTGTGTGTGTGTGTGTGTGTGTGTGTGTGTGTACTTTCAATATGTAATGTAATTCAATTAATTTTACATGAGTGTAAGTGTATCCATCATTGTGAATAACCCTGTATTTTCCAGGTCTGGTCTGGACGTGTTCTACAGTATATCGTACCTGTGGTTCAGCGTTGCTGGCACTGTTATTGTTGTTGCTGTTGGACTTCTCGTCAGTTTCATTACAGGTAAAACTAAAACAGAAACAACTAAACAGAAAACAACAAATGTCTGTCCTATGACAATGTTTTCTAGCTGTGTCATAAAATCTATCCATTCCTCCACACGTCCATCTACCAATGGATTTCTTCATCCAAGGACGTATGGCTGCAATTGACATAGAGCAGAGAAGGGTTTTCACACTATATCAGCACCTGATCCTGTCAGTTGTTGATTATGGCCTGGGACTGCTTACCGTCTCAAAGAGTCAGATGGATAAACTAGAGCGCATACAGAACGCAGTTATGCGGGTCATTCTGGGTTGCACCAGAGATACCCCAGAGGTGTTTATGCGATACATCCTTTGTTTGCCGACTGTTGCAGGTAGGCACAAGGTGCTATAGGCGAAGTCATATCTCAGGGTAGTTGTAGACACAGACCACCCTTTGCACGAAGCTCTGGGTGCAGCTAGGGGTCAGCGGCTGATAAGAGGGAAGTCATGGATGGCTCAGGCAAAAGACACAATCAGACAGGTTTGCATCCTTGAGAACATTAGGCGAGGAGAAGAGTGGGTCAAAGTGTCACCTGAACAGTCAGACTTGTGTGGGGTCTTAATTACACTGAGCCGGGAACGCAGAGATTGGCCAGCAGGTGCCACGGGGATGGAAATTCAGCAATAAATTCAAGATAGTGCTCGCTCAGAGGATTTGACCATTTACGCAGACGGTTTAGTGTCAAGAGGAAAAAGAAGTGCTTGGGGCTTCTTAGCAAAAGTTAATGGTCGACGTTTGGTGCAGGAGAGCCTAGCATATGATACCACAGCATCCAGCTTAAGAATGGTGCTGGAGGCGGTCACTGCAGCTTTCCGCTGGTTAGAGAACACGACACACACACACACACACACACACACACACACATCGTGATTGTAACTGACTCAGAAAGCATGCTGAGGAAGTTCAGGACAGGCATGCTTCGTGCAGAGTGACATGCTTCGCTGCGGAGGACAGGGTTGAGGAGTATTGTCTGGATTTTTTCACCGGGGTACACCGGTGTGTTCGGAAATGAACAACTTGGTTAAATTCTGATGCACGATAAGGCAGACGTGGTTGGTGCCTTGTGGGAAAGCGTGTATAGTTCGGAGGAGCAAGTGGATCACCACAGTCTGATGAGATTGATGCAGGATGGGGTGACGAGATGTTCTGGCAAATGCTCGAGGCCCAGAGGAATGGCAAGACGAACGTTTAATCAGAATGCTACTGGCATCATTAGTATCGGAACTCTTCGTTGGCTGCTGAAGATATGGACGGAGCGCTTATGGTAATGCCCCGAGTGCTGTGATGTCGGTTCTTAAATCAAATCAAATCCAATCAAATCCAAGGACGTAGGTTTAAAAAAGAAACGGCTCTGGGTGGTCCTATTGAAATACAGTAAATAAAACAGTGTTTCGAGTTAAGAACCAATTTCCTGGCACTCAGTTCCAATTCCGATGGCAACAGTATCAGCCTGACAGTATATCCATGTAGACGTTTTCCAGAGTGTTGAGTGTCGGCCATATCCCCGGCTCTTCTCGTTGCACCATTCTCTTCAGTCAGTGATTATCGCTTTGTGCCTCTGCGCTGTTTACTCGCTCCGAAAGGTTATTACAACATCTAGCTTACCATGCACCAGTTTGTTACCAGTTATGCAGAACCAGCTAGTAGTGTTTGCCTATTTAATTCCCACCACACCGGCATATTCCTTTCAACGGGGAGGCGAGACCGATACACAATCAAACTGTTTCTAGTGCCATTAAAATTGGAACTGAACGCATGCTGAAGTATGCACTGATGAGAGTGTCTCGATTGTTGTAAGTCGATTCTTTTTATGATTATTATTATTATTTCGTTCACTTGAAATAAATTATCTATATCTGCAACGTTGATTGTATGAACGTCACTGTATTTTGAATTTCACTCAGCGATCCGTATAGTTTGGCTTTCATCCGTGTTTGTTTTGGCCAGAAGTTTTGTTTTTATATGTTGTTGCGTTCGGGACAGTCTTGGAGGACTTGATCTGTTGTTTCACGTGGCAATGCACGTGTCGATTCATAATTAAAGTTTCAACATTCTATTAGGGAAAAAAAAAACTGGAGTAGGTCGTGACAATGGGAAAATTTAAGAGTTTAGTAACGCAGAAGTGGAAACATATGTTTATTTTTGTAAAGTTTTTTCGACGGATCAGTATCACGGCACATGGGTGTAACTCATAAGTGCTCATTTCTCTTCTAACTCAAGCCTGAGTCCGAAGATTCTCAGCGTAGTTCACGAACTCCGTTGCACCGACGAGGCTCCTGAAAATTGTGGACAGATTTTAACTCCAATTTTTGTCCGGGCAACGCCGTTAGGCCACTCTTTTCGATTTCCACCTGTCAAGGGACGTTTTTCTTTACGTGCTCAAGAATACACACAGGTGTCCGGTATTGACTACCCAGAGACCAGGGGCAAATTACTGGAAGTCCACATGAAAAAACCCAGCCTTCACCTGGGCTTGAACCTGGGACCTCTAGCACTCTAAATGGACAACATACCTTGAAACCAGTCAGCCCCCTTCAGTGGGGGACAAATAGATAATGGTACACACTCTCTAACAAACATTCTTATTTAAACACATTCCCTCTTCCACTGCCTCTCTGTCTCTGTCTCTCTGTCTCTCTATCTCTCTCTCTCTCTCTCTTTCTCTCTCTCTCTCTCTCTCTCTCTCTCTCTCTCTCTCTCTCTCTCTTTCACTCATACACACACACCCTTTCTCTTTCAGGCATTAAATTCATCTCGTACTCTTTTTCGACTCTCTCTCTATCTCTCTCTCTATCTCTCTCTCTATCTCTCTCTCTCTCTCTCTCTCTCTCTCTCTCTCTCTCTCTCTCTCTCTCTCTCTCTCTCTCTCTCTCACACATACTCTCGCTATCTCTGACAGTCTTAGCCGTACACACTTGTACAATCTGTCAAGTTATAATACAGTCTAGTCCACTTAAGTCGAACTCGGATAAGTCGAATTTCGGTTAAGTCGACATGACCAGCTTAGTCCTGGCAATATTCTCTATTGTGTGTGTTGTCTGGAATAAGTAGAAATCCTGATAAGTGGAATCATTTTCTTAGGTCCCTGCGACTTCTACTTATCCAGACTCAAATTTATTCATATTATGTATATTTTTCAATGAACATAACACGCTGTATAGATAAAATTGCAGTATGAAACAAGTGTATGACAGACGGGTCTCTGTACTCAATTTGTGACCCTTAAAAGTCAGTTCGTTCGTTCATTTATTAATTCTTTTTCTCCCTAACAACAAATAAATTGTTAAACAAATAAATACAAATATAATTACATAAAACAACAGTTTTGTTATGTTGTTGTTGAAGGTCCCAACTCCATCGACGACGTCCCTCTAAAATATCAGATACCACTGTTTAGCAGGCTGTGTTGCTGCCTACCCAAGTCCGTGTTGTACAGACTTAACTGCTATAGATATTTTGATGACTCTGAGGTAAGTATGAGATTTTTGTTCTAATTCTCTTGTTTTTTCGTTCGCCCTTACATTGGCTCATGGTACATTGTGTTCTGCTTACTTTTATACTGTGCGTTTGGGTCCAACACGTCCTTTTTAGTATATCCTCAGTTAGTCGCCTCTTACGACAAGCTTGATGGGGACATTTGGTGTAGTACTTCTTTACCACCGCACTCCTCTCCCTCCCCTCCCGTCTCCCAACCCAAAGACAACACGAAGCTTGAGCCACTACTAGCAAAGAGGGAGAAAAAATTGTCACAAAAGTTAGAAAATGCTATTGTTTATGTCACATATGGCTGTGAATAGCTGTAAAAAAAGTAATCCCTTTTCCCGCCCTGGCGCATGGGCATATGGGCAGAGCGTCCTAAACAGACCATCAGCACTCTATGGGTAATGTGTCAGCATTACGCCGGGTCTTTACTTTCCAGGACAGCCCATCCTGTGGCTGGGTCGACCTGCGACGTCCCCATACCACGATAAAAATCCACTGGACAATCGGTAGGCAGGCTAAACAATTTCTTGAGGCTTCAGAGATGTGGTTTTACAGAAAAATGCTCAGAATACCTTGGACAGCCGAAAAGAGCAACAAGAAGTTTTGAAAGAGGCGGGAGCCCGAAGACAACTTATCACAGACATCAGAAGGAGACAGTCATCATTTTTCGGCCATGGTATGAGAAGAGGGAAAATAGAACATGTTGTGACCACTGGAAAGATCTGTGTAAAGAGGGATAGAGGAAGACAACGAGAGAAGATGCTTGACAGTCTTGTTGCATGGCGTGGAGGTGTGTCGGCACACGAACTGATACATGCTTCAGCAGATCGCAGATTGTGGAGAGGTATGATCGCCCACGCCAGTGGGCAAGGCACCTAATGATGATGACTGTTTATATTTAGAGGGAAAAAACATTACAGTCAGTGTTAATAGATATCGTTCTCATCGTCATCATCATTACCATTATCTTCATCATCGCCAGTACATCATCGTTATCATCATCATCATTTTTTAAATATCATTTCATCATCAATCAACCACCATTCTAAAACAGATGCACATCCTTTCGAAAACGTCGACCTCTCATACGTTGTAAATCATTATTGGATCTTTTCACGGGCAAATGATATCAGATTCCTGTTTTATAGACTACCTTTTTAGGTGACATAGTCAACCTTTGCCGCACGTGCTTCCCAGAAGTTCTGGCGCAAGAGGGAATTAACGAGCGGATTGGCTTGCTGGCAGGGCCACTGTAGGCACAGGTAAGGCAATGGACCAAGCCGACATTCTCAATGCTCTCAAGGAGGTAGGGCGAGTAGATAATTCAGAAGACGACGTTGAATCGGCAACACTACAAGAACTGCAGGTCAAAAGAGGTGTCGCCAAACATGAACGCTATACACGTAGTCAAATAAGAATAGTAAACCAACATAGAACTGGTGTTAACAGTCGCCGCACTCTAGGGTATGTACTGGAGATGGGATCCCAGGGCTTATGGACTTGTCCGTCCTATGTGCAATGAAGATAATCTTTCTGTAGTAGAGCTACGACGACTACCTTGATTTAGTTGCACATGCAAAGAAACCTGGTCACTGTGTATAAAAAGGTCAACGCATCCGGGACAGGACTCATTTTTTCTTTCTGCCCTCTATTTGGCTGTCGCTCTGTAGTCTGCTCGGTATGGTCAGACGCCCATTCTGTCATTGTTTGACTGCACGTATTCTCAACGCAAAACATGTGTGCCAGATCGGGCCGGCTGAGCGATGGTAGACTGGTTGACTGTATGGCGGCAGTATGGTCCCATACTTAAATCGGAATTTGTCTCTAATAGTTAAATTGTGAGGGTAAATTTCGATTAACTAACTAATTAACTAACTTCCCAGAACTTTACCTGGTATCCATGTAAGGTTGTATTGACCTGGGAGTGGGCATACGTTTTGAAACAAAATTGTGTAAAGGTCCATTTTCAAGCAGGACAAGAAGATATGGAGAGAGCTAGAGAACGCTAACCGCTTTGTATACATGTAAAATCACCTGTCTTTGTGCAACATCCTTCTGTACTTACTTCTTGTAACTGTAAGGTGCCCCACTATAAATTAGTTTTACAGTGGTTCTCGATTTATATAGGACTATATTTAATTCTTCCGCTTTGTCCTGGACGGTGAAAGAAAGTCCCTTCTTTACCTCAGCAAATTTTTTGTGTTTGCCTTTCTCCGTATTTTTTATCATCATCACCATGTCTGAGGCTACGCGTTGCAAACACGGTTTGTAATTCCGCAATATCTGGTTTGAATCCAGCTCAGGGCGATTTGGAAGCAGACCGCTTGGCGTTGACGTCAGGAGCGGACCCTGCAGGGGCAAACTACTAAGCTTTCAATTTCCTAGTAAAATCACAAACTGCCTAAAAGATGGATTTGCTTCTGTAAACGGCATATAACAGATAAACAGGCAGATTACATTTTTAAAAGTTATTATTATTAAGCACTTAAACCAGAAGGTATTTTTATAGGGCTGAGACCACCCTCTGTCCTCAGTGTGTTCTTTGTGTTCGCAGCCTTCTTTTTATTATGTTATATTACTGTAATAATCCACAGGATTCTCAGCTGAATGAAAAGGATACTGACAAACTCATCAAATCAGAATCCGTGGATACATCTTTTAATGACAACGAAAAAGGTATCTATGCAGTTTTACATTGTAAATAACCAAAACGTCGTAAATTTGTGACCCAATCTTTTTTTCATCCAAAGGTCTGCTTTCCGAATGGTTTCTTTCACACATAAGACAGTGTCTCCCAATTTTGTCTTAGTTGTAGCGCCTTTTTTTTCAATTAAAATTGTTCCACGGCGCCCTAACCTAAGTACAAGTATAACTATTCGTACGTAAGAGATAAAAACAAATAAAACTCGTATCTTGTAATATTTCGCGGCGCTGCTGTGAAGATGTCGCGGCTTCCCGGGGCGCCGCGGCGCACAGTTAGGAACCACTGACATAATAGAACCATTTGCTTGTGAATCGCCTAACATAATTAATGCCATCATCTGCAAGGGATGTAAAAATTACATATACTGGGGACACCGGTAGGTAGCTAGCAGATCGCTTCCGTAAACATCTTGCTGACATTCGTAATAAGGCTCTCAAATCAGCTCTGAATCGGTAGAAATCGTTCGAAAATCGCACTTAACCTCCCTCACCTGGATCTACACAACTGGTCATGCGAGCAGTCTAACTGGCAAGCAATGCACCAACACATGTGGGAGGAAGCATGGACAGAGCAGATATGGTCAACGCTGTACAGACTGGGCTAGCGGATAATAGCGAATCTCTGACACTAGCAGGATTGCATGGCATCGGAGTGAAGCATTGTGAAGCACGTCTATGCCGACTTTAAGGCGGAGATAGGAGACATTATAAACAACTTCTCATGGAAACAATTAGTAGAAATACCTTGGATTGGCTGCTGCATCGGAGGACTGAGCACGCATGGGAATTCCCAGTGTACGGTGACGTCGACTGTGATAACATAACAAAAGAAAAGCAGATCAAGATGAAAACGATATCTCAGTCACTGCTATTAAATCTTGCTCCGGTGATCAAACTAGCCGCTACGGATTAGAAAATTGTTTGATCCATAGTTGTAGCGTTCTCAGTCCTAGAGAGATTAATATTCAACACAGCTTCATTTAATTCAGTGTATTTACGTTGTCATGTATGTAACTTCTTCATATTTCTCTCCTTTTATTTATTTGTTACATACTTTGGCGTCTGTGGCTTAGGCGTTGTGAATGAGCTTTGTAATGCCAGGGTGCCGTGTTCGATTCCAGCTGCGGGCCTTGCGTTGGAGGGCTGAGAAGAAGTATCGATAGGCCGACTGTCCAGAAAGCAATGGCGAACTGCTGGATTAAATTGCCTAGAAAAAAAAACAACAGCCAAAAAAAAATGCTTGGGTTGGTTCTGCAATGTCCAATAAATGAAACGCAACTAACTTTAAACTTTTTACTTACGCGTTCTTACTTATTTTATTTGGCTTTTTAGCGCTTCCTATTTATATCCCCCCCCCCCCCCCCAGCATTGATGTAGTTTTTGGTTTCATGTTACCCTTGGCTATGTATTACCCCTGTTGTCTTGTCGGTTGAGTCTTTCCGTCACAGTTTGTGCTGTATTTAGTACTCCGTTGATAAAGACTTTGGTCGAAAAGTTCCGGCTTTGTTTGTTTGCGTCTTTTTCATTCCTTCTGTTGCGCTTTTTAGTCATATTCTGTGTTATATCCAGCTTTTCCTGCAATCAACTCGACTGCAGTCACCCCCTATTTACGTCATCACTTTATGTGGGGCATGGCACATACACGTTTGGAAAACACTGATCTACCCTTTGTATGAGTGCTTCTGCTTTTACCTCAAATATAGATTTTATAAAATTATTACGTCTTTCATTCTGACAGAAATGTTTCATTTCCCTTTCTAAAATTTATTTCAAAAACCTCTCTTTCATAGACTATTATTTCATAAGTCATTGTATCATGTTATAAAGGAATTATTTCGTTATAACTTAATGCTGTTTTGTATCACGTCTGGTTCTACAGGGAAGAATCCATTGGAAATAAGTCGGAATGGCCTGCACATAGTTTCAGCAACTGATCCAATACTTGCACAGAAACTGGACCGGTACGGAGCCTTGACTGAGAATAAGGAGAGAATTAGTTGATTTTAGAAGGTTGAGGCAGAAAGGGAGGGAGAGTTCGCTAATTTTCTAAAGACTTTAGCAGGAAGTTAGGAGAGAGAATTATCTTACTATATAAGGTTGTAACTGAAAGGGAGGAGGGAAGAATTTGCTGATGTTGTAAGGTTGTAGCTGAAAGGGAGGAGGGAAGAATTTGCTGATGTTGTAAGGTTGTAGCTGAAAGGGAGGAGATGATAATTAGCACAGCGATTCTCTAAACAATACTATGGAAGTAAACATGAGACAAGAAATAAATATATGAGAATATGAAT